GAGAGAGAGAGAGAGAGAGAGAGAGAGAGAGAGAGAGAGAGAGAGAGAGAGAGAGAGAGATGGGTGCCATATCTTGGGACTGATACGGCCATTGGCCGACCTTCACTCCACAACCTGCTGCCGTTCAAGGATCATCTTTGATTGGACAGTATCTGGAGACATCAGAGAGAGCGAGAGAGAGAGAGAGAGAGAGAGGTGGTTCTCGTTACATACTCTCTCTACTTCCTGACCGATATTTTTTTTCTCCTCCCCTCTTCTTCTTGGTTTCCCTCCAATTTTTCCCTTCTTCTCCTTCTCCTCATGGGTTTAGAACTTTAGAGTCCTTAGACCATAGTATTATGGAAGCGAAAGCGTACACACATATAACTCATAATATTGACAAATGAATCATAACGCCAAATCCTGAGATATGCTATATACATCGCAGATACAATAATCTTAGGGGATGAAAAAGAAAAGATGTGTGCCATCTAGTCACCGCAGGGGAGTCAATTATTCTCCCTCTTGTGCTGCTAGTAAGTTTATACAGACGCGTCCATAATTCAGTCTGCGCTTTGAAGTTTGACAAAAGCATGAATGATGATTGTGAAGTTGGAGGCTCTTTCCCTTTCGCCATTCCCATAACACACAGCCTGCAACTGCATTCATAACTGTGGTACCTGGGCAGTACCTACCAGTGCGGTCGCAGCGCTCCTCCTCACAAGCACTGCAGCCTGCAACAACCGCATCAACGGCCAGATTGCTGCCATAGTTTGTGGTGATCAGCGAACCATCCCCACCTTTTGTTGGTCCAGAGACGATGTCCCATGCCTTCAATGTGGCAGTTGGAAAATTCCAAGTGTTTATTACCAATGGGAGCTGGATGGCCACCATTCCTTGGCTGTCATAATTATCTGCAAGCTCTCACAAACATGCAGCAAAAATCGTGTGTGTGAGGAGAACTGGGACATTATTGGGAGGCATCGAGGTGGAGTGGGAGGCATCAAGATGGAGGGAAATTGTACTTTTTTTCCGTTCATTTGTCACTGCAAGGAACCATCCACTGAGAACACAAAACTTTCAAGATGCAAAAGCTCACAGAAGACCAATCACGAATATGCCGAGTTGAAAGCAGAATCACAAAGCTGAGAGCACACACACTGAACATTGAAGCCCCTTGATAATGAAAGCCCTCTTCTCGCCTCCAACAATCAATATAACAACAATGTAGTAGTCCTACTATGATGTGTCTGCCTATACTCCTCTCTCTACTGTTACATGCTGAGCCTGCACACGGGCCCCGTTTTGGCGGCCCGACGGCTGCTGGGGGCCCCCAGGCCGCATGCCTTTCAGGCATGCGCCCTGGAGGCCCACGACCGGCCTTAGGGCTGCAGGATTCGTTTTGAGAAGGCATTCATTTATTTATTTATTTTAATATTTATTTATTTATTTATTTAAATTGTTTATTTGTTTGCTGTCCTATTTTTGACTGTTCAGGCGTTGTTTCGGACTTGCAGTTCGTCGGAACAGACTTTTTGGTGACAAAGGCTACGTTTTGGGCCTTGTTCGTTCGTAGTCAGGCCCTTTGGGGCCAGGTTCGTGTTCGTCCGGTAGCGGACGTTCCCTGCTGCATCAGCAGGGAGGGCCTGGACGTCCGGTAGGGACCCAGGCAGGCAGTTTCAGGCCAGGACCAGAGGCACACAAGTGAGGCCCAGCGCTACATCTAGCTGGGACAGGCCAGGGCAGACACACAGTTTGAGTAGCTCACTTCTTGGGCGACACGCTGCTGGAGCAGCGTGACACAGCGTTGCGCTAAGGTGTAGAGGTGTAGGTAGGAGGTGAGGCAGAGTCCATAGCTGCAGCGGCGGTACTTACCTGGGCGCCATAGCTGGACTCCACGCCAGCGACCGGCACAGAGAGACACGCCGGCAGCAGTTAGTGTGTGGCGGCAGTTACCTGCAGGTGAGACAGCGAGGAGGACGACATCTTCTCCTTCTTCTTAGTCTCGCCCTCCATCTCTTCTTCCTCCTTCCTCCTTCTTCCTCTTCTACAGAGAGAGAGAGAGAGAGAGAGAGAGAGAGAGAGAGAGAGAGAGAGAGAGAGAGAGAGAGAGAGAGAGAGAGGTTACAGGCACAGGTTACATCGAGTCATGAGGCCCAGGATCTGATTCAACATTTTTGGTGGGAGACATTGATTGGACATTCGGCAGGGAGACTATTTTTGGACTTCGGCCCATCACCTAGGGGATAGTGGCCTTGCGCAATGATCCTTTTGCGGGAAGCAGAAAAGAAAAAAGGAAAAAGAAAGGATGCAAAGTTGCAAACCCTTTCTCCGTCGCAGGGTTTGCCCAATTTTTCAGGGGAATAGTGTTGGTGTAAACCACCAGTATCTATAGGCCTGCATTTCCGGGCCTGCCAGATTTAGTTCAGGTTGGCTTCCCAGGTTGTTTTGGGTAGGCCAACAGGCCAAACTGCGCATATCCAAGCCTCTCCGCCGAGCCTGAACCAGGTCTATCTCTGACGCCCTAGTCGCTAGCCGAAAAAAATCGAAGGCAGCGCTGCTTTGGCTGACCTGCCATCTCGCCATTCCCACTGCTCAGTGGATTTCGACGAAAAGCCGCTACAACCCATTGTGTCTAGTGTGTGCTCAAGGGACTGAGAATCTACTACACTTGTGGTTTACTTGCTCTCTGCAGCAAAGGTTTTGACACTTCGGCCCTACTTGTGCCTTGGTCCTTCTTCTCTCCTATTACCCTCTGACCTTGCAGCTGATGTATTGCTTCAATTTGCTTGGGGCCAGCGTGAAGACAGACTCCGACATTATCCTCTACGTGTCTGAGCTGGTGTGTGCTTCCATACTAGCAGCTTTCTGTGTCATCAGGGACAACTGTGTGCGACAGGATAAGACCTCTTCAATAATTCACATGCGACGGCTTGCTCTCCTCAATATTCGGCAGAGTTTCCAAGCGAATTTCTTTCATAAACACCGAACTGTCCCAATCACTCCTCATTCCTTTTTGGCTCGTGCCTGGGCCTCCATTCCTTTCTTTTGCTATTTTTTTATATAAATATAATTATATAACTAATCTTTTTTTTTTTCTTTTTTTTTTTTCTTTTTGAAAAGCTTGGAAATATTTCATTACAAAATAGAGGAGGAGGCCAGGGACCTCACGATTCGACCCGGAGATCCTGGGGCCATTACCCAGATTAGGCTCTAACCAAGCTGGAAACCGGGTCCAGCGTCCCATTCTCTGACTTACAAGTAGCTTTCCAAAAAGTCCAACTTTAAGCTCAGAAAAGTAGTAAACTGGCAGTATTGTATATCCACTGTCCACTTCCCAATGACTCCTTGGCTGGATCCTCTATACTGTCTATGTCTGGTCTAATCTTGACCAGGCGCCAACAGGCTACCGAGGACTCAGCCAAGGAAGAACCACCAACTGCGCTTTCTCATCCAAAAATGCCAAGTTCTCATCCAAAAATGCCTCCCAAAAATGTAACCAAGTTTTCTGGAACCAGAGTCGACCTCTCCCCTGGCGTCCCACGCAGTGTTTCCGATCCGCCAGGATGGATAATCTGATGTTCGATCTAACCTGATGCCATTGCTGGTGATCACTAATCTTTTCCTTCCTGAAAAGTTGTGAAAACAACTGCGTTTCTGGCCTGCCATATTTCCTGCATCACATATCCTTTACAGATCAGTGCTACATATCCCCAACCCACTGAAAGATTGAAACCTGGTCTCGGGGGGTTTCCATATAAGATCCAACCCTCGGTCCATGGGAATTCCTCCCCTACCAGGTCCTTCCAGAGGTTGACCAACCACTGCCAGTTTTCTTCCGCCAGCGGGCAGTGAACCCATAACTGGGCGTTGGGTTGCCAACTCCACTGGCAGAGTGTACATGTGATAGGTAGGTCCATTCCTTTTGAGGCTAACCAAACTGCAGACGGTATTACCTGCAAAGATTGCATCCATAAAAGACTTGCAATCTTTTCCCCGGAAGTCATTTAAGTGCTCTCCACTGTGCTATCCAGTCAGGCTGGGGAGACTGCTGCCCTTTCATGCGTTCCAATCTCCTAGAAGCCAAGATGGAGGGAGTTGACCTTGCAGCACAGGCATGGTTTACCCCAACCCTTGCCTTATATTGGATCTCTGGGCTTGCAGATGCTCTGACTCCATCTTCCATCCCAATAGGGCCGGCTCTATACTGAAGTCTTCTGCCTCGCCCAGCAGGACCGCTTGCTTTTCTGATTGTTGCGTACGAACTTCAGACAGGCCTGTTGTAGAGTGTACATTTTTAACTTGCTGGAATGTCAGACGGAGATCCTTTCTGTTTCGTATCCTCCATTCTTCAACTCTCCAACCTGTTCCCAGCTCCGACCCCAACACCTTAAAGATCAGGCTAGGATCCTCATTTGACTCTAACCACGTACCCGGATCATGCTCTGCTCCTGCCTTGAGTACGAAAGTCCAGAAGGCTGGAAGAGCAGCGAGGATCACCGATAAGTTGTCGGCAACTTGTCTCAGCCTGGGTAGTCTCCGATTCAGATCGTCCCCTGATATCCAATCGTCCTTTTCTTCATCCCATATATGTTTTACCTGCAGTACGCCCTTCTCTACCCAGGACTTAACCAAAGTTACCTGGTCCATCTTTGGCAGAGAGGCTACTGCCATCCACGAGGCAGTTATGGGGGTTCTCGAATAGAATTTGGTTCGCAATTTCCAGCTTTGTACTTGGCTGCTGGATGGTCTGAGGGAAGAGCTTCTTCCACGCATACAAGATGCCTCTCCAGATTCTCGAGTTTAACCTTCTGTTCACAAAGGAGGGGATCAAACAGCACTTCCACGCTTCCCCCGGACTCATCAAAGACCATTATTTCCACAGTATATACTCCGGCAAACGAATCCACAGTTTGGATGGATTATCAAACATTGCTCTTACTAACCATTTAGCTAGAAGTGCCCAGTTCTGTGCTTGAGGGTCCAGCAACCCCAATCCTTGCTGAGTCCGAGGGAGGGTCACGGCTTCCCAGGCTACCTTAGACACAAAACCTTGTTCTTCCTCTGCCGTTGGTTTCCAAAGGTACCTTGCGGCAGACCGCTTGATCTCAGCATATGCCTCTTTGCCAAGCAGGCATATTGAAAGTGGGAAGCACAAAACTGAAAAGCCGCCGTTGTCAAAACCAGCGCCCTTCCAAATACTGACAACCTGCAGTTTTTCAACCGCCCATGAATCCGTGCCGTTACTTTCCCTGGTGGCAGTTTGTCTTGCGTCTTGGAGCAGTCCGACAAGGAGACTTGTACTCTTAAGAACCGTTCTGAACTCTCTGAAGAGATCAGCCTCAAGCCCCAGTCCAACATGAGTGTAAATATGGCGGGCAAGAAATATACAGACTTAGCCCAATTAATTGAAGCCTCAGACAAACAACAATTCTCATCTAGTACTATGCGTAGTTCCCCCAGTGAGGCGGAGGAGTTCTTGCATGCAAGTGCTAGGTCATCTGCGATTGCTCCTCCTTTCCACTAGAGGGAGGGACTGAGGAGTAGTCCTCTAATGGCTGAATTGTACCTAATATTGTCTAATAGGACTTCGAGTTGTAGAACGAAGAGCAGGGGGGGCAGAGGGCACCCTTGTCTTAGGGAGCGATTTAAGGGGAAGTCTGCTGACAACTGATCATTTACTATCACTGCTGACATGGCATTTGCAAACATAGCGTGGATCCAATTCATGAAACCCGGCCCAAACCCCATTTTTGACAGGGTGGTCGACACGAACGCCCATCCCACTCTGTCGTACGCTTTTTCCATGTCCAAAAGCAGGACTGCCACATCCCTCTTCTCTGAACCTATTATTGTGAGTGCTTGTACCCCTGTCTCTTATACACATCTAGATGTGTATAAGAGACAGCTTGTA